CAACTACATAGATATGTCGGTTGAAAATTAATGATTCTTTTGCAAGAAAATCTATACAATCGGACGAAGAAAGGGATTCTATTTCTTCCAAGTTGATCTGGTATTCTAGTATTCAGTTATCTATTTTACTGTTACGTTTGTAAAAGTAATACACATTTGTATTACTATTTGAGATTTTGAAATGTCAGAAACATCTCGATGATAAATATTTCAAGGAAAGCTATAATTGTCAAAAATTAAAGTAATGATATAGATTCATGTATTATAAAAATCATCGGATATAGTACTATACGTATTTGTATCATAGTAGCAAATTTTCTCAAACAATAATGTAAAATAAAGTTCGGGTTCGCTAATTAAATGAAGCAAAAGGTTTCATCGAACTTTGACAAGTAGAAATCAGCAGACATGACATAAATCCGTGTTCACAATATAAGGACTCGGTAAACCATATGATATTGAGCATCTTGCGTAAGTTCTTTTACATAGCCTCTTCTTTGGAACAACTGGAGAAAAACGATGAAGAAATATATATTAGTAGTGAACATGATAAAATGTGCGGTATTATATATGAGCTTTAAGACACAAAGCTACTGATCAATATCGTTTATTATTATTCGTGAGGGTTTCTCATTTTGTTATATACGAAAAGGTGACTATCAATCTTTGAAATGAGTATGTGTGTGGGTGTGATAAGAAATAATCGCCATTCAACGAGAACAGTTGTTTCCGTCTTCGCGGGTCTTCAACAAGTGGATATAACTTAATACTGTATCTACTAGATAGTAATTCAGTTAATATAAATAAAAGCGGAATTACTTTTCAATAGAATATTTAGTATAAATTACATTTTCACAAGTAAAATTCCAAGTAAAATTAACTTTGAACCATATCCTTAGTCGAATATAGTTAAATAATAATAATTAACATAAAGTTGAAATTCAAAGCATTACACGACGCGGTTTCACTGAAGCGTATCATCATCAGCTATATGTATAGAAGGAAGTTACTTTTTTTGTATCATAGGCGGTTTGTAAGGGCTGATGAAGTGAATTTATAGGAATAAAACACTGAAGGCTGTATGTATCCCTCCTAGTTAGATGCCTTTTACCATTAGGAATGTTTTCTCTGTTTATCACATCTGAACTATATTGCTTTGTACGCCATCCTTTCATTAGTAACCTAAAAGTATGTATGAATTGTATCATGAATTTATTGAGAGGGCTGTTCTGTCTGGATACTTGTTTAACATACTACCGGTTTCTTTTTCAAAGCATTTAAATGATTTATTCAAAAATGAAAAGTATAGTAGAAAGTTTCAGGAAATAGCTATTAGCCACTCTTGTTCGCTCCATGAGCATAACAATTTGAAACAGGCACGCACTGAACATGTTTATGTCTGACATCGGTTGTAATGAATGTTTATTTCCAGTGATTTTTGTTTGTTATGAAGATAGGTCATCATTTTTACCTCAAATGACGCTTACGATGCCATTGCTTTTGACGTTCATACTAATCGATGCCAGTATATTGAGAGGAAAGTCCAGTTGTAGAAGCCATTGTACTATCAAGTGCTAGCATTGCGATAACTCTTGTCTCAATCCCTGCACATATGGCGCGGCATCTTTGGCTGAGCCTGCGAAAGTTTTTCGCGGAATCATGTAGCCTTGATGCTCAACCGCTACTAGTGTGGCTACCCTTTGCCGAAGCCTTGCAAATTTTGGAATGAATATTTATACCACACGGGTCAGTTGCCAATCGTTTTGGACTGCAACTAGCCCAACCATTGCTAGTGTCGTGGACTGAGGTGAGCTCCACCAAAGCGAAAGTTTCGCGAATCTGTAAGCCCCAACCAATGCCTGTGTTGCGCCGAACTCTCAATAATACAGCTTGAATCACCTGTATAGCGAGTGGTCTTGACTAAATATGTACTACAGTGGCATAATACCGCTCGCGGAACAAGTCCTACTTATAGGAATGCGTCAGGATTCAGGTGCTACCTTTGTGGAGAACTCTGATATCGACAAGTCAAAATATTCCACGGTTTCTGTCGGTCCTCAATGAGAACTAAAGGATAACCCCTATTACTAACACTTCATCGGCCAAAGGTACACCCACTAGGAGGACTTGTCGATGAAGTGTATGGCTTCGATCACGGTTCGAAGTAGCTTGTCCTTGTCCCAGTTCCAGGATAACTGAAAACTGTAGTGTGAGTACTTTCTCGTGACTTGCGACGGTAACTTCTTAAATCTCCTCAAGTGAACCACCCAATAATAGGGCTTGAGGACTTTAGGGTGACATTCAATAATAGGACTTTTGGGCCCAATGGTGTCCTACAATAATGGAACTGTGGACGGAGGCTAGGGTTTATTAACGGTATCCAAGTGGGAACCGGAGTCATTTGTACAATAGCGCTTTCATTAAATCAAGTATGTAGCTTTCTGTTATTACTCATAGAGGTTAAATTTCATCTACAAGATGAGGAAGATTAGTCAGGTGTGTCCTTGTCACTAGATAAAGCGCAGCTGTCGCTTGGATAGAATCTTCGATGTTTCATTTCTGATGAAAACGTTGGTTTATTCACTTGTTTCAAAAACGAATTTCATGATGCAGAAATAGGCCCAAGCGGTGGCTACTTCCTCAATGCTCTTTAGGATTACCGGCTTTTCTTAAGAAACAATGTTTTCGATCCTAGTATGGATAAGAAGAACAGCAACAGTGTACTATTAGTCACAATTACATTGGTTACAAGCGTTTTCTGAGAAATGTGTATCGATTGTTGTGATTATCTGCATCTCGGTGTTGAGCGTCAACAATGAGCGGAGAACAGCGAATATAACACATACTCGATTCAAAATAGGTTCATAATCCTCAGTGTCTTTTATCCAGAAAATGATATTATGCACATGCTTGGTGCTAGAGAAACGAAATACAGTTGGTGTCATACTATGTTTATGTAAATTTTTAAAAATCTACTTTTCTAACAGACTCTTCAGATAAAACTTCTGCTCTCCAAGAGATCGAAATATTGAATCCTTTCATACGAGTGGCATTCAAGTTCTTTTCGAAGTAGACTTACAAACAGTGCCAGGGAACCATAAAGCAGTTGAAAATTAAATGTTTCTTCAGTACGCTGTATAAAGTTTCGAATTATTGGATACATTATTTTACACATAAGCAATGGCGGAGAATTTACTGTTTACATCTATATGCATCCCTTTTTTTAAAACTCTGATTCAACTCGACTCAGTATGAGAGTCATTCCAGTATCTTCTAAATAATGAGTATCAAGTATTTCCTTCAACATAAAATTCTTTGGGATTTTTTTTCCAACTAAGCTGAAGTTAACCCATAAAGAAGACATTCAAATACAGTTTCTTCTATTTCTGCGCATTGATGAGTGTCGTTTCTTTCATGCTCTTTGTTTGCGTTTCATCTCACAACATTACATCGCCATGAATAAATGGCTCTCGACAATTTTATTTTTCCTTTCTTCACGACAACATCTCGTTTTTTTCACCAGATTTGTTTTCTTTCATTTCGGAGATCAAGACAAGTGTCCACACATAGTTTGTACTGTTTTCGTCGAAAGAAGGTAAGTAATTCTTTGCTTTTGAAGTTCATGGCCACAAAGATTTTCGATATCCGCGGATCTTTTCTTCATTTCTTTAGAGTGGAGGTGCCTTTTTTTCATTCAGTTTGTTTCATCGTTCCTCTTCCAGTAGACGGTAACTATTGAGAAAATAGCTTCCATTTTTCTTATTGAATCACGACCTACCTCTCCGTTTACACCTGACACCAACACGTACTCTGAAATCCACACCCAAATTGACATACTCAGATCCGACATCCACACACGTATCCGATACCTACACCCACATAAATCGGAAACCCACACATACAGCCAAGAACAATTGGAACTCGCATCCAACTTTTATTTTTCGTTCGTTTAACCGTATTCTTCTATGAGAGAAGCTGATTGTGTGCATTAGTTGAATATAAAAAAAAGGCTTTACTTTGTTTGTATACGTCTCTCTCTTAGATTTTGAATTTGTTTACTCGACTACCGAATCATTTCTCTTCTTATTTTCAACACTAGAGAGAAAGGTTTTGACATTGGAAAGAAAACTTATGTTGCTTTTATTTAAATGAAAAGAATTTCTGTTTTTTAAGAAGTCTATCATTTCGCGATTGACGCTTTTCACTGTTCTTGTGCAGACACTTTTCAATCATTTTCAAATACAAAGTTAGTGCTTTCTAGCCAGTGTAGAAGAAATCATGGTTAATCTTTTATGCCTTTGCTTCTTCGCTCAACTCCCTTTTTTCTCGTGTATCGGCTACATATCTAACACAGGAGAATTTTTTTGTACTTATTGGTATAGAAATCCAATTAAAGAACTGCTCTTTTGAATTCAGCTCCGTATAGTCTTTTTAGTAGAAGGCATAGAAACGCTATTCAGGATTCCATTAGTACTTTCTGCTTTGTCAAATGATAAATGAAACTAACATAGAATATTTCTTTTGATATAACGAAGTAGGTAACAGTGTTTGGACAAGTAAAAGTACAAGCATTAAAAGTACAATTACTTGTACTGAAAAATTCCACTTACTACTCATACTTATGTACTTTGTACTTGAGTACTAATGAATTTATGTACTGCTACTTTTACCCTCTTGATATTCACCCACTCATGTCTTGTATATATCAAAATGTAAATAGAAGTTTCTCAAATTCAATTCAACCGGGCGGATTAGTTGCAATAGAAAAATTAATCTCCAACATTTATTCTCTTTCGATTGTCTCAGAAACTCCAATTTCACACCGACATTTCTAATCACAAGTTTTGATTAGGTCATATAAAATCCGAGTCATATCTTTGCTTTCATAGATAACCATTAATGATAAAGTTTTATTTTCAATGTAATCAATCTCAAACAATTATATGAAATAAAATAAAATGATTAACAAGCTTATCAACAAGATTATAAATAGTTAGTTAATGGCTTATGACAATTGGAAGCAATATTTTGATTTTTCTCCAATCGAGAATAACCGAACGAATGGTCTTTGCAAGTTGTGCCATCGAAATTACAAAGACAAGTCCGGTATATATAGCAACTTCTTAAAACACTTCAAACGAGTTCATCGGTTCGAATATGATCAATTATTCAATCGTGACAATGCATTTCTGATGGAAGAAAATGGAGAATTAAATGACACCCAAACTATATTTGATTTAACAAATACGAAATATAAAGAAAATCGAATTGTTTTGTCAATTGCCAAGAATCTCATTGTTCGATGTAACTTACCACTGAATTTAGTTGAAAAGGCTGCATTTCGTGATTTTCTAAAAGATTGCAACTTCAAATTTCCATGCATATCAAGCAAGAAATTGAAACGCACTATCATACCATCCCTGGTCGACATCGTTCGGAAACGAATTCAAGATGTATTAAGTACCACTGAATATGTTACACTAACTGTAGATCTGTGGTCGGATCGACGTTGTCGATCATTCATTGGTCTTACATGCCATTTAATTGATGAAAGAATGATACCACAAGCTTATTTGATAGATTTTCTACGTTTTAAATCTCCCCATAACAATGAAGCAATTCATCAAGTGACAGAAGAAGTACTTGAACGTTTCAATATTAAACGGAAGGTGTTTAGAATAACAACAGATAATGCATCATCGATGATCAAAGCATATAAATTTGGCTTGAGTATTTGTGACAATGAAAAATCCAATGATGATTGCATTCACCCTATGTTTGATGAAGCATTCACTGTTGATGAGTGCGACTGTAGGTCATCATATTTTCTTTTCTATTGATTTTTACTTTTTATTATGTATTGGCCGTTGTTATAGTCGACACGTTATCGAATGATATCCAGAGGACAGACGTACAAGAGGGTAACTTTTCTGAAAGTAGAAACATGGGACCTATACGAATATCCTGTTTTGCACATACTATTCAACTCTGTGTGCGCGATGGATTGAAGAATGAAACACAAATATCTCGAGTGTTAGAAAAATGTCGATTAGTTGCCAAATTTTCGAATCAATCGTCAAAAATTGCCGATATATTAGAAGAATTAAATAAACATATCCATAAAATGAATATTACTCGTTGGAACAGTGAATATCTTTTGATCAAATCTATTTTGGCTCTCGACAAAAAAGATTTGGCACTGATCACGAAAGCAATGGACTATCCAGTTATTTTCTTATGTGATGATTTCAAAATATTAGAAGAAATGATTGAAATTTTAGAACCATTTTATGAAATTTCCATCAAATGTCAATCAGATACACTTGTTACTGCTAGTCTCGTGGTACCCGCCATCGTTCACATTATTGCTCATTTACGTGATACGAAAGAGACTGGCTCATGTGTTACTAAATTAGTTGGACAATTACAGTCGTCAGTTGAAAAACGCTTTTCTGGTATTCTTCGTCGATTGAATTTTGAACAAGTGGATAATAATGAACCATTCGATGATCCTCTTTATTTTATGGCAGCCGTGCTAGATCCATCCTTTAAGTTTTTTTGGATTCGTGACCTTAAACTAACCGCCAATACGGAAAATCGCTTGAAACAAAATATAATTCAGCTGATTCTCGATGAAATTAGTAAAGATTTGACAATATCAGACTCGTCGAATAATCGAACCAATGTATCTTCTTCGTTATTATCTGGGACTTCCAAGAATAAGAAGAAGAAATTATTCGCTTATGGTTGTGAGAATGATCACGATGGGAATACCACCACTGACTCTGATCCACGTTCCGAGCTTGAAAGCTATCTAAATGATC